GTTCATGGGTTGCGTGAGCAACGAACCAAACTCGGCCTTATCTCGATGGACCATTGCTCGTGTGAGGGTATTCAACCTTGTGCCAAGCGGTGGTGAGATTGCCACGGAAGTTGAATTGGGCCTCATATGACTCTGGTTGAGAATTATAGCTCTCGTCGACGGCCTTCACGACAAATTGCTTTCCAGCGACGCGCTTGGGCACCACAAACTCCCATCGTTTCCATGACCATGCTTTGTGGCCTTTCGACTCACCCGGCAGGAGAAGCGCCTGTTCCCAGGATTTCCCGCCGTCGGCGCTGACGTCGACTCGAATAATCTCTCTGCCTCCTCCACTAAATGCATATCCGTCCACTTTGATGGCGTCTTCGTCTAAACCGTATTTCTGCAATGACCTTCGACCTTGCCAAGAGCTGCGGGATATCTCTTTTATCGAGGTGATAGCGCTTTGCACGGGCGTTTCTTGAATAGCAGGGGCAGAGGACCAGTCCACATCCTTGGCAGTTTTATTGGGGCCGAAGCACTTATAGTCCCGCCGTTGCCACTGCGACTGGCTCTCCTCTTCGGAGAGAACGATCTTCTCGATCCATTTGACACTTCTCGCAGCCGTGTGACCTGGCACCAGTACTCGCAGTGGGTAGCCGTGATCAGGCGGTAGGGGTTTGCCATTCATTTCATACGCGAGCATGACATCTCCTCTTGGGTCGACAGCTTTTTCAATGGGGATTGAAGCGCCATATGCTTCGGCGGCAACAAATTGGACGTGTTTAGCATGCTCCGAATCGCTGTCATTGACGGGAAATCCTGCGTCACGAAGCACATCGCTCAGACGTACACCGGTCCACTGTGCGTTTGAGATGGCGCCCACATCCCACTGAAGGCCGATCGCAGGTCTTGCCCCGGCAGTCATGTGTTTCCGGCGATTTCCAGAGCATTGCAAGGTCGCAGTGATGCTAAACGGTTGAAATTTGCTTCTGAGGTCGTGCAAGGTGTATTCCTTTTCGGTACCGTCTGGAAGCTCAACCGTTAAAGTGTGGGTCTTTTCGTCCAACTCGGGAACCCACAAATGATTGCGCACGTAGAAGGTCTGGTTGGGCGTGATGTAAGCATCCAGGCTGTCCGTTGGGGTCTCGGCGTTGCAAGGCTTCTGGGTATGCTGCATCAGACGGGTATCTCGAGTGGGATCGTTCACAAAAGGATCTTCGACGTCACGTCCCGCGACCTTGCCATCGACCAGGTCTCGTGGATCGATGTCGCCAATGAAGTATTCTTCGAGCACATCATACACGTCTTGCTTTTGATGGATGGTGAAAATATTCCAATATGGATCAATTGAGCAGCCAACTGCGTGCAGAATGACTGGACCCCCAGGATGGGCTGCTATCCAATCCGTAATGTCAAACACCCGCGTCCCCTTGATGACCCATTTTCGTTCGGCGTCTTTGCCATGTTGTCTCACTTCATCCAGGCGAATCAACCTCTTTGGTTCTGCAGACGGCGCCTCAGCATATGCTATTGGAGACCAAGTGATGACTGAAGCTGCGATGATGGTACAGCCAACGACGGCCCATGCCGTTAGAGGCGCAGGAGAGATTGACTTTGTCCTATGCGGGAGCTGATTGGTCCAGCTGATTGACCTATTTTGGCCGATAAATAATCTCGCATTGTCACTCCGGGAGCGGTGGGAGCCGGAACCGGACTGAGAACGCGTCGCTAAGGCCGAAATCCTTTGGACGACGCCGTGAAACCGAGACAACTTGGGCATGTCGAAAAGGCACAATCGACGATGGCCAGAAAGCCACGTCGAATTTGGGGTGAGTGCTGCGAGCTCGTCTACTTTGGGCACTGCAGTCCCACTATGGCAAACATTTCTCAACCCAGTATGTGCACAAGGGCTGTTGCAAAAAGAAAGTTCTGCAAATTTGGGTATTTGTTGAGGCGACCAATGCCTGACATGAAGAGAGAAGAAGGTCTGAAGAGGTGCTGAGACCCCCTTTTCCCTGGCGACCAAAGTGCCTCACCGAAGCGGAAGTGCGGACTGCGGGGCACGTCGCTCAGCCTCGCAGCCTCGTCGATCTTATAAGTCTCACCCAGAGCCAAGATCTCGCTTCCTTCTGCCCGTTGGGTGCCCGTCTGCTGCAAATCACCAGTCCAACTCGGTTGACGAAGCTGGCCCTCTTCCGGGAACAAGGGAAAGGAACAGGTAGAGCCACCTCTTTAGTTGAGGATGGCAACTCGACCTCCCATCCTAGCTGGCGGTCAATCACGTGCCGGCGCTCTACGGCTCCAGCCTTGACCGGCTTTCTGTAAGAGGGCGGAAGAGCGGCAAAACTTTGCAAGCCACCAACGCCTCCAGGAATTCTGATTTGTCGACAGATGACATCGATGCAGCGAGGGGAAGCTCAAGTACCCTGCCCTCTGCCAATTATCCACTCGCTCCCCAATAATCGGGATACTCTCCATCGTTAATCATCTTCGTTTACCTACGTCACCAAGCATTTACACGAACTTTTTGCCGAATCGGGCCCCCTTTAGCGCTCCCTAAGCGGGCTGTCAAGACCTCATACATATACATACTCCCCGGGAGACCAACAAGTTGACCTTCAGCAGCAATCAACGCCTCTCCCACACTCGCCAACATGGATCCTGCCGGTACATACGCCAACTGCCAAGTGGCGCGGGACTCATCCCAAGAGTTTCCTCACGAATGCCAGAATGGCGAACACCAGACAGCCAAGGACGAACTGATGGACAAGTTCGCAGCCAAAAACCAGCGTGGATGGAGGAAAGTGGTGCTCAACTTCACACCATCATGGTTTGCAGCCACCATGGGTACAGGCATTGCCTCTATCCTCCTGCACCAACTTCCCTACAACGGCGACTGGCTGTATTGGCTGTCGGTCATTATCTTCTGTCTCAACATCGGCCTCTTCTGCCTCTTCCTGTTCATATCCATTCTTCGGTATACTTTATTCCCGGGGCTGTTCATGGCCATGATTCGGCACCCTGTCCAATCTCTCTTTGTCGGCACATTCCCCATGGGTCTTGCGACGATTGTCAACATGGTGGTCTTTGTATGCGTCGAACACTGGGGAGTTTGGGCAACAACTCTGGCCTGGACATTGTGGTGGATCGACGTGGCCATCGCAGTCATTACTTGCATGTGGCTGCCCTTCGTCATCATGCACATCCATCAAAGTGAGCTATCCAAGATGACTGCCGTGTGGCTCTTGCCGATTGTGGCAACCATTGTCGCGGCGGCATCGGGTGGCATAGTGGCCGAGATCCTCCCCAATCCTCAGCATGCTGTTTGGACGGTCGTCACCTCCTATGTGCTCTGGGGCACAGGTTTCCCTCTCGCCATGGTCGTCCTCGTGATGTATTTCCACCGACTCACGATTCACCGACTGCCGCCACGTGAAGTCATTGTCTCGGTCTTTCTTCCCCTCGGTCCCCTGGGCCAGGGCAGCTTTGGCCTCATGCAACTGGGGAAAGTTGCTTCAGAGGTCTTCCCCCGCACCGAGAACTTTGGTCCGGACGCCGGCAAAGCCATCTACAGCTTCTCTATCGTCATCGCTCTCGCGATTTGGGGTTACGGCCTGGTGTGGCTTTTCTTCGCGCTAGCCAGTATCACACGGAGCAGGTTCCCTTTTAACATGGGATGGTGGGGTTTCACTTTCCCTCTCGGTGTGTTTGCCGTATCAACGACGACCCTGGCAAAAGAAATCCCCAGCAAGTTCTTCAAGATCCTGGGAACGATCTTTTCTGTCGCGGTGGTTTTGCTTTGGTTGATTGTCGCTTTGGGCACCTTGAAGGGTGCAGTCACAGGCACCTTATTTTATGCGCCCTGTGTTGAACAGTACGAGAAGGAGTTGACTAATGATCGACGGAAAAAGGAAAAGAAGTTGAACAACCGGCTACCCTTGAAGCATTGGAGGAGGAAGAGTCATGCGGAGAAGCAGGAGGTCTAAACTTCGTGTCCGGGAAGCTCGAGCGGTGGAGTCCTGGCGCAGACGATGGGTAATATTATTTGGACTGGTATTTTGGTCACTGGCACCTGTGATGTTTGTAGTTTGGTTGTTACCTGTGAGCGATCCAGACGTGGTATGATACAAGCATCGGCCTGAGAGAAAAAAGTATATTCATCAGCATGAGAATAGAATAAATGATCTAGTCCCCCATGATCACCCAGCCCCTGGTGACCATAGTGATAATGACTCGGCGTACAAGCAGCTTGAGCGGCTGGCAGTGCTGTCTCCTTGATCGGAGTCTATTCGACGACGCCTACGGAGGCTGCTCGCCAAACAGGCACGTAACTCAACTTCAAATGTCGTCGAATCAGGTACCAAAGGAGACGTTCTGAGAGAAATACGAAGCTACCTAGGGACCTAGAATTCGCCAATATGGTAGCCTGGGAACGATGCGGGCGGGGCAACTCATTTCCTCCTCGGGTAAATCACCCTGTCAATCGTGTCCTTTCCCGAGCGTACATTCTTAGCCTCAGGGAAGGTATGAGCATGTTTTCCACGACAGATATTTGAAGGGGAGAGTAAACTCGCATTTCTCCGAGGTAGGACTAGGTACCCATTGATCGCTCTTTTCGTCTCCTCTGTCCTGGATATTATTACCCAACAGGTGGTCCAAGCGGGAAACAGGGAGTTGCTTCAACCACAACCACAACCAGAGCCACAAATTAATCATCGAACGAGAAGGCTCGAAGATATCGTCGCGGGAATTATACAGACCTACAGTCAGTCGCCTACGAGTGGCCGTACGAGGTAACCGAGGACGAAATTCGACACGGACAAGATGGCTCCCACGATGCTCGAATATGTTCAAGCCATGGTTTTCCCCCCGCTCTTCATGGGCGTGAGCGTCTGCTGTAAGTGCCCCCCATTTTCGGCATATGTACATCTGCAGGAGGTAAGAGATGTGCCGCCGCTGTAAGGGCCGGGATACGGGCTGGACGGGCAGGGAGACAGGGGTGCAAGATAAACCCGCCCATGAGATTTGAAGATTCAGCAAAGCTTACATGTGTACAATTACTCACCCCTTTGGTGTACTCACCAGATTTCGCTATTACCTTTTTAAGCAACCCGCTCCTTCCGCTCAGCAACTTCAACTCCTTCAAGGAAAAGACCTTTGCTAGGCTCTGGCTCAAATATGGGCCCATGTACGCCGACCAGATCCCTAAGGGTCTCCCACCCTTGCTGGCGCAGTCGCGCGGCCTGGTTCTCGACATCGGCCCGGGGTCGGGCGAGCAGGTCAAACGCTTCACGCACCCGGAGAACATCACGGCCATCTACGGCGTCGAACCAGGCGCCAGCATGCACGATAAGTTGCGGGACAAGGCCAAGCAGGCCGGTCTGGGCGGGAAGTACCACGTCCTCGCGGCCACGGCGGACCTGGACGCGATCATCCCGCAGCTGATCAAGGCCGGCCTCGTTCAGCCCGACAAGACCTCGTCGACCGACCTGCAGCTCTTCGACGAGATCGTCTGCGTGCGCGTCCTCTGCGGCGTGCCGGACCAAGCCGCCACCGTCGCGGACCTTTACACCCTGTTGAAACCCGGTGGTCGGTTCGTTATTTGCGAGCACGTCCTCAACACGCACCACGGGGTCGCCCGCCTGGCGCAGAGACTGTACATGTCCTTGGGCTGGAAACAGTTGATGGGCGGGTGTTGCTTGACCAGGAGTACCATGGACACGCTCTTGAAGGTCGCGCAGGCCAGAGATGGAGGCTGGGCAGAGGCCAAAGTTACTGTCGACGACGAGTACACCCCCGCGATGCATGTCACGGGCGTTTTGACCAAGAAGAAGTAGAAGTGGTGGTAGTGATAGCAGCGCTATCCGTGAGCTAAAATGACTGACTGCATCTATCACACGCTCGCATGAGGATGGGGAGAAGTCAATCGGGCCGGGACCGTACCATCGTATGTCATATCTTGTCTCTTATGTTTCATATCCTTTCTATTCTATTCTATTCTAATCCCATTTCGTATACCGTACCCACACTACAAGTACAAGTACATCTCTTGACAGATATGTACCTCGACCAAACTCCTTCTACTGCCTGCACAGTGACCAACCGTAGTCCACAGACCGCGCAACCCGCAAAAACCATTCTTGCCCTTCCCTTTTCCTTTACTTTTCCTCTACGCCCGCGCCGCCCAGCCATCCTCCGTGATAAGGACGTTTGCATGCTGGCGGTGTCCTGTACAAGTATACCTCCCGTCGCTCACGGCACAGCCATCCCTCCCACCTATTATCTTTCCCTGGTTGGCTCCTAAGGAAGAGAGTGAGTGGGTGGGTGGGTGAGAGTCGTGCTGATTATGACGAGCGAGTACAATGACCCCTCTTTCCTCTCCTGTCATACATAGGGTTCGTCTTGATACCGGAGCCCAGTACCCCTCCCCCCCCCTCTCAAAGGAATTTGTACAAGTATGTTTCTCCTTCGTTTCATGTTTCTCTCTAAACACGGAACCCCAGCAATCCCCTCCAAATCCTGAAATCTTGACTTTTCCCATGACCGAGCCACCTGTATAAGTATCCCACAGATATCCTATCCCATCCCGTTTCTGCCCATCCCGTCCAGTCCGGTTTATCTGTTCCAATAGATTCTACCACACATAGAAAAGCTCCACCCCTGAGTCGCGCCGCCTGAGTGGTTATCGTTATCGTAGCATGCAATATCAATGTCCCCCAAAAAACCACCAAAAGAAAAAAGATAAAATGAGACACTGTAATCTGGTCATGTGCCCAGTTCAAAGTCGGACGGCGTCTCGAGACCCAGTCCCTTGTCCTCGAACGTCGCCGGCGACATGCTCCGTCGTAGGCAGTCGACTTCGGCTTCCAGACACGCCAGCCTTCCCCGCAGGTGGCTGTTTTCCTGCTTGACGAGTTTCTGCTGCTCGAGGGCTGCCGAGAGGGCAGCCTGCAGTTCGATGACCTTGCCCTGCGTGAGGCAAAAATTCAGTTGTCTTCGTTCACGATGGCGTCGTTGTCTGTGCGTAGTGCCACAGAGTTAGCTAAACCACACCTGCTGTAGTAGGCTTGTAGAGAAGAAAGGAAAGGTTGGTGGCGGTTGCCTTGGTGTGACACACTTACGCTTGTCGATTCTGTTCTCTCCTGCGTTCTTTCTTGCGGTCGAGCCTCGTGTCAACTTGTCCCTTGTAGGGTACGCCCGGCACCTTTAGACCGTCCAGCGGAGATGCTAATTGCGACAACTCTCCATTGACAGCAGATAGGTCTGCATCCGGTAGAGGATGGTGGACGTCTCCAAAAGGCTCTAACCACCAAGCCGCGTCCTGGAGGGAGGGCACGTGTAGACTGCTGCTAGGTGGTTGCCAGGTGGTGTCTGAAATGTACTCGGATTCCAAGGACGGCACGGTCGAAACCGACGATTGAGATGCATGGCGGCGGTCAACTAGCGTGGGGTGGGGATTCCCATCTCCAACCGACAGGTGAGAGAATCCTTCCAGCACTTGGCGTGGTGAAAGCATATAATGTTGTTGAGGAAATTGGTTGTCAGGGCGAAGTGATTGATTCATTGAAGCAGCTGCCGGTCGGCTGCGTTGTTGTTGCATCTTTTGAGGAAGAGACCAGCGGTTTCGGCCAAGGTATATCAAATCGCTCGAGGCCAGTGAATTTGGCCCCGGAAAGCTGGCACTTTGGCAGCCCTCCACGAGCAAATGTGTTCGAACAACGTCAATCAAGAAGAGCCTGATTGCCGAGTGGAGATGCCCGCGGTACAACGTTCTGGTGCGATCGGCTGACCCTGACCCTGCACTTGTATCTGGGTTAAGTATTGCGGTTTTATTTGGTTGGAGGATCGTAATTCCCTGGTTAGACGGGACCCTGTTGATATCGACCATCGGCAGGACTATATACCATTCCTTCGACTGTTGCTGGCAGTACCAAATTGATGGACAACCGGCTCAGCAGCCCTGATTCTGCCCTGCATGGAATGTATTTTGCATTCGAGATTCTGGCTCCACCTAACATATTAGTCATTTTGCCATCCTCCAAATCAGTATATACCTGTTGCGTTGAAATAAGCTCTCCAGGTGCTCTGCTTGGCATCGAGCAACTGGCAACTTACTGCGATAGTAACCAAATTATCCCATGCCAAGCGATGAAGACATTGCTGGTTTAGCAAAGGCCTTGCAGCAGCAGGTCCTACCCCTAGGTAGGAGCTGTTCGCGGTAGCTTGCTTGATCCGCGGTGGCAAAAAGGGAAGGACGAGGAGCCACCACCTTTGAGTGACTCTACCTTGACTGAATTCAGGCCACGCAAGCCACTGTTGAGGCTCTGGGTGATAGGTTGAGGGGCCGCCCCTCCTCCTAGGGTCAGGTAGAAGGCGCAGGAGGGAAAAAACGAAAAAAAAAAAAAAACAATGAGTGGGAAAATGGCTAATTCCGACCCGATATTCCAAAAAGACCACTGTCATTGGGAGTGACAAAAAGGTGTGATATTTACTCCAAAGACCAGGGTTGCGGTCAGGGGTTCAACGTTCTACCTTAATCATCAGCCATTTACGAGAAGCGCCCCATGCTTTCCTTCGTAGGGCTTCCGGATGAGGAAGGAGTTTCTTATTTTGGACAGTCAAGTAAAACGGCGGCCACTTCAAGTGATTGGTCTGTATCAGCCTTGGCTGTGCTCGGCACGTCTCCGCCAGTCTGCAGAGTTTCATTCAGATGGTGAGCTAGGTACCAAACCCAAGGAATGTATGGAGAGGGGTGCATCTTCGGGAATCCGCACCATTACGTAGGTGGGCTTAAAGGGCTAAATTCTTGGCCCGCGCCGTTGGCACACCGTATTAAATCCCGACTGACGGCGCTAGCGTGACTAGTTCCCTCACTAGCCGAATTAGCGCCGGCGCCTTCCGGCGCAGCGGAGTTACTAAGCTGATACTATGGCTGCCCTTGAGCCGTACGTAATACTCCCACGACGCAAGGCTGACCCTCCCCTTGCCCTCTCCCCTACAAAGATGCCCTCAGTATCGCCGAGTCAGTTCCGTGCCCGTTCCCTACATAGGTGTCCGTGGATGTTTTTCGAGGGCCATCTACAGTAGCGAGACGTCTCGACGACGCAGTCAGCTCTGCAGCTCGACCTGGCGCCCAGACTTAGCCGACCCAGATTTCCGCGGCTATGAGGTGCAGCACATTCAAATACTTGACCTGCTGCTGTGGTTACGCGAAAAAGAGCATTCTAGGCGATTATCGTTCGTATTGATGTTAAATACAATGGCTAGGCCTTCGTATTCTGCAACAGTCATCTCCTCTCGAGTGTGTAGAACAGCCTATTGGAGGATGCCAAAGGTAGAGGAAGAACAGCACGAGGCCCTTCACCCTGTCTGCTCCAATTTTGCCTTTGTCTCGCTCACTCATGATTTGAATTGGGTCTGAAATGCTCTCAGCTATGGTCAAGTTCTAACCTGGCTGGCAGGAAGCAAGCATTCCGTCTATTCGTAGAGCTCCTGGTCCCTATGTTTCCGTGGCAGCGAACCCTCCGGGTTGAGAACGAAAATGGCGTGATTTATTAGCCGAGCTCATACGACATCCCTCTACGACCCCGAGGTAATTGTTTCAACATGCGGACTTGATGCAGGTTGCATGACACTGAGTCAATGATGGGAAAAGACTTGGGCTTCGTGCTGAGACGAGCTGTGAAAAGGTACGTTGGGAAAGATCACCGCAGTCAACACTTGCCGACTTGCTACTCCGATGCATTTTCGCGGCCGCGTAACCATTGTCCGCTCTTGATTCACTTCCTATTATCTTGCATCTGCGGCCACCCTCCGGGAAGGTGAGCGGGGCTTGAATAACCCCGCGGATGCGGATTGAATACTAGCAAAAGGACCCTCTTGCATTGATGATGAAGACCCTGATAAATGTCTCTTCACATGTATCGGGAAGGGACACCAACGGTTTCAGGTGGGGAATAACATCCTTTCGATAGAGGGGTCTCCCTTCTTGGCGAATAGTACCTTTAATTTCAGTGGAGAATGTCATTATGCTCGTGATAAGCAGCCTGTCGAAGCGCGGACAGCATTTTGTTAGCAAAGATTGTTCGGCAAAATATGACGTGCGGAGGCCGGTAATCTCGAGAGCTGGAGCTGTAGCAACGTTAGTCCACTTAGGCATATAGACTTGCCGATCGTCACCCATTCAGGCCTTCTCTGTGTCCAATGTCTAGTGATCGCAGTGGTGAATCTCGAGCAGCGGCGTCGCCTTCATGTGGCAGCTGGCTAAGATCAAACCCAGTGTACATCCGCACGCGGCCGGAGACTGTTAATTTCATATATGGAGGCCGGTCTGGAGGATGAGATTGTTAGACTTTGCACCCTTGTGACTTGGGAGACTGGCATCACGAAAATGCGTTCATGTTGGCAGTTCAATGAGATTCCTCAACACAAACCACGGAGGTATGGATTTAGTAGCTGGACTAGCAAGGTGCTGGAGTCGGATTCATCAAGGCCGGCAGCTCTTTTCTCTCTTTCTAGAGGAGACTCTTGCATGTGACGTCCGCTACACGCATCTAAGACGATGGATAAGCCAAAAAAAATCCGACAAAACTCGTATGAAAACTTACCTGCGGCGCACCACCAGCCGCGGAGTACCGAAAGTTTGCGCATCATTGCCGAAAATCCCTGATTGGTTTGCGTTATAAGCGTTTCGTCACTCTCGACAAGATCAAACTGTCCGAATGGAGGCCTCGAGGAGCTTTTCAGTATTCGAACCGAGTGCCCCACCCTTGGGAATTTGACAGCCGCTTGGTGCGTCCACTGCAATAGAAGTGGGGATGCTCGCTCAAGTGAGGATGGCTGGCTCTGTTGGCAATCGGGTTCAAAAAGCCAATCATCTCTTCGACGCTTTTGCTTCCTACCTCAGACGTGGAGAATGAAAGGTCTTACATTATCTCTAGGTCTGCTGGAGATAATGAAGCTCTATAAAAGCACCGAAGCATATGGTAACTTGAGGGCATAGGCGGTGATGGGTGAAGATCCATCTTGGTATGCTTGTTCCGACAAAGCTTTCAGGGACTTTCCAACAGCTTCTTTTTCAGACCTATTACATTCCGAATCAGTAGTCGAGAGGTTCCTGTGGCAAAGAACGCTTCATACTAAATAGGTAGCCTGGGGAAGACGAGCAAGCATCCCCATCCTAGTTGACCAAGGTGAAGACACCGTTGAATCTAACTAGGTTAAATGTTGACATCTCTGTCAGCAATCCAGTCTCAAGCGCAGAATGTCACGGAGGGCGGCATACTCCCTCATCCCGATCCTGGTCGCGAACAGGGAGCAAATCAGTCGCCTGCGGCTCTGGGCTTGTCGCACGTCTGGGAGGATACATTGTGGCTTCGGTTGTTTCAAGGTGCAGTCTTGAGACCGATCCCGAATCCGGAGTCAAATGTCAAAAATGGATATCTCAACCATGCCATGGGGAAGACTTAGAGATATTGACCAAGAGAAGTTTTCCTTCGAGATCTGGTCGGGATCATCCAAAGACTCTAGCAGTCCAAGTGTTAGGACATATGCTAGATCGGAATTTCGCTCTGTGCTAGGGAGGAGTTCTGTAGTTGCGCGTCAATCCAAGATTCAACCCTAGATGCGGTTTGGACACATCCTCTGAGTAGCGACAATGCTGGGGCTTTCTAAAGCTTCGATTAGCTCTCTTTCTCCCTTGGCCTTGCATCGGGTCACTGACTGCAAGCACAGGGTACATTTAGGTGCCAGTCTGTGCATCATCATTTCCTGTATCGACAGCAGTAGTCGCAAGCTTGAGGCAACAGAGCTCTCTTCGGTGTCTGCGTTTGCTCCGTCTCTGTGTCAAGGGAAGGCAAAACATTCTCGAAAATGGGACACTCCGGACCGTCGATGGTCACTACGAGGCTCGACTGAACTCACCGTGTCTGTCCAGTCCCGAGCAGCGCTATGCCGCTTATCTCAGGATATACAGCATTGAATGACGGCATTAATTAATTCGCTCGAAAAAGATTCAAGATGATGAAATAACGTGCAATGATGCCGTGGCCATTAGATATGTACTCCAGTCTGTTTCTGGTGTAGCGGCGACGCGTGCAGCCTTTGCCAAGGCTGTGTCACAACCAAGACTTGGGAAACTTTTCTTGGGCTGTGCAAAATCCCGCTGGGTGTTTCGTAGATATCATGTACAAGTACTCCTTACTTGATCGTCGGCCTCGTCCCCTCTTGCTTCAGTTTATCACTCACTCCCGGGCGCTGCTAAGAGCTCCAAAGGGTGCAGATAACGCATTTCTCCATGTGACACCTGGTCCGATGCTTGCAGCCGTGACTCTCTCCTTAAAGGAGATGGCCCAAAGTCTGTCATCGGGGGCCCAGAAGGGGCCCAACACCATAGGGTCAAGCAGTATCAACACATGATCGTCACGAGCGTCCCTCTACTCCTTACACCATCTACGGGAACTCCCAAGGTCCCAGGTTCGTCGCACAATGCCAAAATGAGACCAGAGCATGATTGTGAATTATCGTATTATCGAACTGCCTTCGAAAAGCGCATGGCTGACTTGGACAGGATGGCCGATTGATGTTACTTTGAACAATATG